GTTATTCCCGCGTGTAAATAACCTAGATAAAATTTAAGGCCAGTACACGGCTGAGTGTTACGTTGAATGATCATGGATAATGAATGTGTACGTGCTTGGGGTTACCCATAGCAGTCACACTATGACTATGCGAGTGGATTCTCTTATATAGTGGCACATTGCCACATCCACCCCAACTGTTTAAATCCCAGCGTCCCCGCTGGGCCTACTACTTTGTAATAAAAATTTAGAGAACGATCAAATATTTAAAAACAAATTAAAACACTTAGCATAAACAACAACTAGGACTAGTGTCTTTTTGTGCCACTGCCTTATTTCCGTTTCTCTCGATTTGCGATGATAAGTGATCTGCGAGGTACTACTGGTGGAGGTACTATTGGTGGAGGTACTACTGGTGGAGGTACGACTTGCGTTGTGGTCACGTGTTTACCTCGTGCGTGTGATAAATGTTGGGGAGCAGTAATGACAGGTACACATGTGTCATGCCGTTGTGGTGAAACCTGTCTTGATGGGATAGCATCTAAACTGGACACGCCTGATTTTGAATCTGAACTTAATGTCCTTGTGTGATAAATGTTGGGGAGCAGTAATGACAGGTACACATGTGTCATGCCGTTGTGGTGAAACCTGTCTTGATGGGATAGCATCTAAACTGGACACGCCTGATTTTGAATCTGAACTTAATGTCCTTGTTTGTGAGGATGAGCTAATATCGTTCAGGTGCCCTGTACTCATTGTACTGGAAGTTGGTGGTGGCGAAACCACGGTAGGGATTGAATCCTCTGTGGTTTGATGGGCTTCTTCCATTGGATCACTTTCATTTTTTAATAAAATTTCAGATTTCTCAAAAACATTCAGAACTTCTCCCTTAGAATTAAAAACGTGTGTCTTTGTTTTTAGTGTTACTGTGTGGGTCGTGATAACGGTTCTCCTCTCAACATCTGTACAAACTGCCGGTTGTTTTAGTGCAACACTAACAGAACCATCCTGGAAAACAGTGTCAGAAAAATTAACTGTTGATCTCTTCCTAATATTTCGACGGTCAATATGACCAGCTGTATTAGTCACACTTTCGGGTTGAAGTTTAAGAATCGTATTTGCACCTGAGTTTGTGGATCGCACATTCTCAGATTTAGTTCCAACAACAGTAGGGCTAAACTGACCAGGTTCTCTTACAAATGTTGACACATGCTGACCAGCGGTAGGCTGGTCGTGAGCAGCATCATGACCAAATGGCATCTTGGATTTCCTTTTTGACCGTCGCCTCTTGGGGTGTTGTGGTTGTCCATTTCTTTGAGAAATGTAATTTTTCTTGGCACAGCATACCTGCTCTGTGTGACCTCTACGACTACACCAACGACATAACACATCCGTGCGTGTGGGTTGTCGCTTGCGCTTATGTCGTCGCTGATGTGTAGGTGCTGGTGTAGACTCGGTAAAATGGACGTCGCAGTCCCTTTCAGGTGATGGAGGGTCATACCTTTCTGCCCTGGCTGCCACTTGATGGTCTATACGAGCCATAAGTTGTGTTGTCAGCTGGGTCAGGAAAGGTGACGGTGATGCTGAGAGCTGGGCGGTGGTGACATCAGAAATTTACTCACGCATCCACCGTTGTCCTTCCCTACGGACGTCATCAAATGAGCGGCTAGTGTGTAGCCTTGCGTAGGCCTTGACATCTCTGCTTAGGGTGGGTGGTTGGAGACCTTGGATGAATACGTCACGCAGTATATTTTCTGGGAGAATGCCAGGTCGTGCAGAATTAGCTAACATGAAGATGTTGCGCAATTCTTTCGCATAGTCCTCGACAGTTTCCCCAAGGTATTGTTGTCTACGGTAGAATGCGGCCGATAGAGTTGTGACGTCACGATGATCACCCCAGTTCTGCAAAATCAAGTGCAGTAGTTTATCTAGAGTGTCTATAGTAGCAACAGCTTGGTCCAAAATGTCCTGACGAGCACGTCCCTCCACGGCACCTATTATCCAGATGACCGCTGAGGCTGCGGGCATCGGCTGAAGTTTCAGGAATAACCTTACTTCCTTCACAAACTGCTCAGCATTGCACTCGCCATTAAATTTTGACAGCTTGGGTGGACTGTTGATTAGGTGAAACTGTTCTACTGCACTTTTCTCCATCGGTCGGTCTATGTGTGTTCTGTCTATGATTGTGTTACCTTTTCTTTAAAACTGTCCTCAAAGAATCCTGCTCGCAGCGCCAAAAACTGTAGCCGAGTGGATGACGTAGCTTACAGTTTAAATAAAATCCAATAAAACAATCAGATCTGAGAACTATAGCTTTTTAATGTAAGGTACAATCCGTTGACAGAGCCGACAGGAAAATCTCTCACACCTTCCGCCGACCCGACGCATCCGTTCCACACCACAATCTAAAAAAATGTACACACTCCAAGTTCGCCCCCCCCCCCACACATTCACAGGGAACCCGCGTCCCGAGCTGACCATGGGTCAACCCCGGGGCAGGGATGGTTATTCCCGCTTGTAAATAACCAAAATAAAATTTAAGGCCTCAGGGCTGTGGGTTACTTTAAATGACCATGCCTGTGTACGTGCTTGGGGTTACCCATAGCAGTCACACTATGACTATGAGAGTGGATTCTCTTATTCCTATCTGTTCCATACTGCCGCATATAAAATGTTACCTAAAAGCAGTTGCAAATAGTTGCACATTGCCACATAATTTTTTTTTTCACAGCTCACTCCTCTGTAGTGAGTTCCTGCGTTACACGAGCGTACGAGTTGATAATATTGTGGCAGCCTTGATCTTATTCGACGTGCACACAGCTTGCCTTCAACAAACTTGTGTTAGTAAAGTCATTTTGAATCACATGTCAGATAAGTTTATGTTTTTGAATATTATTCGCTTGTTCTTAAAAAATGGTTGACATTATTTTAAGTCCTGCAGAAAAAAATAATTATGTAAATGGCGAAATATTATACTTTTCATAATTTTATCTACACTTTTAATCCAATATGACAGCTAGTGTGCTGGGTGGCCGAGCGGTCTAAACTGTCTCACACCAAACAGTCGGGAGTTCAATCCCCGCCAAAGCCAACATCCCTAGCACCCCGGGTGGAAGGGACTCGTCAGCCTTGGACGGCAACCCATCTAAGAGAAGGCAAACTCTGAATTTAAAACCAGGAGCCAGAATGATCATCAAATTGATCGTGGGCCCCTCAAATATAAGAAGAAGTAGTAGTTTTAATGCAAGAACTTGAGTAACTACCGTTTACAGGTACTAGATGACGCTTAGTGACCTACATCGGTGTGTTGTTTATTTTTACCCAACACTTTATTTTCTTATGTTCCTTTACTCGCCATTTCGAATAGTTGTCTACTTGTTAGAATTTAACAAAGGGGGCCTTGTGAAAACCTAAATTTGACATAGGCGCCGGAGATCTAACATTTTTAGGAACCATTGGCTTAGCCGGGAGTGGAGGATACGTCATGCGAGCTTTGAACATACAGTGTAAGAAATAATACTGTAATGCTGCTACTTCTAAGCCCCCCCCCCCCCCCCCCCC